GATCACTTTGAAGCAGCACACTGAGCTGGAGTACAAGTGAGCGCTTAAAATTTAGTGACTTTACCTCTGCCTCATAATCCAGGAAATAACTCAAGAAAAGCATTCTGGGGATCAGTAAGGTCCCCTGGAGTCAATCCCCCCATCGAGGCAAACTGCCCAAGTCTATTTTGAATCTGTTTCCAGAAAGTCTGTGGGTATGACAGAAAACAGAGCCTACGGAAGGTTGCTGTGTAGACTGCGTGTTGTTATATGGATGTTGAAGGAGAAAGACTAGAAATTCTATTATCTTGCTATGTAGGTTAGAATCCTCATGTCTACCTCTTTAATATGTTGTGGGTTTGTTTTGGGTTTTTCTCTCCCTTCCCCCACCACCACCTCTAACTAGGGAAGGAGACAACATTGCAGGTTATGTGGATTTGAGTCCAAATAGATCAGAACCAAACCAGATGCCATTAAGCAAAGTGTGATTCTTGACAACTTTATGTGCACACAGTAAACCATCTGCTATAGACTCTGCATGTTTGACCTTTCAGAAGCAGGCATTTCTTCTAAAGCACCTCTGGGTAGGTTCAAACTTTGTACCTTCACCCTTCCCATTTATAGCCCTGTGCTGGGGAAGAGATGGGATTAAAATCCCCTCCCAGACTCACTCTCTAAATCCTCTTAACCATATGCACCACTCGTGGACACCTCAGAAAAGTGGACTTGAGCTTAAATTCTGCCACGTATTGATGCACATATGTGAACTTGGACTCACTTCAGTTCAGGGAGCCTGCCCCATTCCCTTTGCTATAAACAGTAGTATCTCCTTCAAAGGTTTGCTACAAAGATTTAAGATCTAAATCTTGCCAAGGGGGCTTTCACCACTACTTTTGGAACAGTGGGGTTGATGTTCTGGGAGAAATGTCCTCTCCTTAGCAAACGGAAGTCAAGACGGTGTTGATCTTTTTAAGCATGAAGACATCAGTGTAATCCGCTCAGTGGGTATCAGGTTGTTGTACCTCAAGGATTGGATTTGAAGGCTACACCTCCCCACCAATTGCCTCTGCATAAATAGCTGCCATTCCCACATGAGCTGGGGCTGGCAATGAGCCACTGCTTCCAGTGTGAGTTTAGGGGTTTTTAGTTAATCGTGCTGCAGGCTTTACCTTGATTGAATTGGCACCTGGAGCTTTGGTGTTGGACTTGGCCATCAGCCAACAGGAGTCCCAGTCTGAAGTGAGGTCAGTTTTGGGGTATCACCTGTCTTGAGGGACACAAGACTTTGTGTTGGCTTATAGGGTCAGTTTATGGCTTTAATGATTGCCATGTATGTGAAAGTACATACCTTCTCCAGCTTGTGCTTATTGTCTCGAAGTAATTAGCACCTTCTTTCAGTCTTGGAAGTGACCAGGTTAGAATGGCAAATTACATGGTCACAAGCTATACCCATAGAAAGGTTCGCAAAAGCAAGGGGCTTTGGCAATGGTTCAGATGCCAAGGAAGAATCAGAAAAAGAAAAGGTTTCAGGGAATTAAGAATTGATTCTCAACACTGACTAAAAGGTGCTATCAGGACATTTTCACTTGGTTCAAGTAGCTACTAAGGGATTAGAAAGCTCTTATCAACACAGTTATCTTTTTCTAGGGCAAGAAGAGAGATTTGTGTCTTTATTCTATGTTTATATATGAGAGAGGGAGGGAGAGATATAGAAAGGGAGAGAGAGAGGAAGATGGAGAGGGAGAGGAAGAGAGAAGAGAGGAGAGAAAGGAGGGAGAGAAGGAAGAGAGTGGAGAGAGGGGAAAGGGAGATGGAGAGGGCGAGGAAAAGAGAGAGGGAGGGAGAGAGAGGAGAGAAACACATGGTGTGCTGCTAGGTGCTTTGGTAGGGTGGAGAACGCCCTGCTCTATGGTTTTTGCTGATTCCCAAGGTGTAAACAAGCTACAATGTTACTGAAGATGGATTTGGGAAGTGGTACAGAAAGCCTTTTCTCATGAACTGACAGGAACTGGCATTGGCATCTTAAAAAACACATCAATGCCAAGAGGCAATGGTCTCATAGCGGAACCTCTGTTTGGTTTGCAAAGGCTATACATTGTAGAGGGGAATCACAATCTGTTTGGACTGTAAGGGCTGTACATTACAGAGGAGATTCACCATCTTTCTCCTGCAGAGCTGCTGGGAGAATCCAATTGCTAGCGAGGGGGAACCTTTGGGTTAGCCGTGCAACTCCTCAGGAACTATGCCGTTAGCACTCCAAGCTTCAGCATACCACTGGAGAAAAGGGTTTTTACATTCACACAGACATACATGTGTATGCATCTGCATATACTTGTGTGCATCTGCACAGTTTCCATCCCTATGTGTGTATATAATTCAACCTAACTGCAGTTGAGTTGGCTCCAATTCAGAGGGGCTCTCCATTGAATTTCCAAGGCCATGACTTTTAACAGGAAGAGAATGCCCATCTTTCTTCAGAGCAGCGGGGGGGGTGGATTTGAACTGCTGGAGAATCATGGTATTTGGGTTGGCAATGCAACTGACTATGGTCTATGTCACCAGAGCTGTATGTCTACATGAAGATGAATCCTAATTATGTTTTTCTTAATTTCTATATAGCTTAATGAAGCACTCCCCTGGAGCATATAACAAACCCAACGAGTGGTCTTGTGAATTCAGATACTGTGGGGTGGGTGCCACGTAGCTACTAGGCCAAAGGGTGGCGTGGCCTCTTTATTGGTGATAATTGTGCTAGCCTGTATATAGCCTGTGTATTTATGGCCCATAAAATATTTGTTATGAAATATTATTCAAAGTGGATGACCCTAGAGGACATTATGCTGAGTGAAATATCTCAGTCACAAAAGGACAAATATTGCATAGGGCCACTATTGTAAAACGGGACTGACATTGGGGTTGAGGGAAGACAGAGAAGGAGGGAGGAATGATGCATTGAAACAGATGAGGGAGAGAACTGTTTAAAAGGGATATATAATTAGGTATTACTGTCATGACAGGAGTCCAGAATGAAGGCTGCACAGTGCAGTGGACTTTGGGGGAGGGACTGCATAACAATAAAAGAGTTTTTCTTTTACTTTTCAAAGAGAAGAGTGAATTGGGGGAGGGGCTGGCTGGGAGAAAAGTGCAACAATGAATGACTGGAAACCCTAAGTCTCTCTAAACTTTCATTAAAATTAATTTTAAAAAAGAAAAAGTATTTGTCTTCATTGTTGAGACAGCAGACATGAAAATCCTTTGAGATCTAGAGGATAAAGGGAGACAGAACTTTAGGGAAAGAATAGTAAATGTACCACGGACTGTCAGAAAAACAGGTATATTTGTCTTGGAAAGAAGTGTAGCCAGACCACACCTCTAAGGCAAGAATGGTGAGACTTCATCTCATATACTTTGGATACTTTATCAGGAGGGACTAGCCCTTGGACAGGACGTCAGGCCTGGTCAAGTTGAGAGTTAGTGGAAAAGAGGAAGGCCCTTGGGGAGAGACAGGCTGAGCCAGTGGCTGCAGTAATAAGACTCACACTTGGCAATGACCATGAGGGTGGGACAGAACTAGGCAGCATTTCACTGAGTTTCAGAATTGACCTGACATCAATTCAGATAAAGGTTGTATCTAATAACAA